CACCCATATTGCAAAAGTAACCAATTCCTGTGGCTTTAGTCTGTAGAAAAACACCTGAGAAATTCTAACAAGGTTGAAGAGAAGTTTTGAGGGAGTCCATCAAAACCACGAAGGGAATTAATTCCTCAAGAAAAGCAGCTTTTCTCCTTCCCTCCAGACAGCAGAGGCAGGGATGGCAGAAAGGCAGGGAGGTGAGTGGGCTTACCTTTGTTGTGAGACATGGCGTAGAGGAGGCAGAGCACGAAGAGCGCGTGGTAATCATCGTCTGGGCTATCCAGGGCATGGTACACCATGTCCAGGAAGGGCCTGGAAAAGAGGAGGGACACTCATGAGCTTCGGGGCACACACGGACGAACACTTCTCCTCTCCCACCTGCTAGTCTTTGCCTCTTACAGCTCTGCCACCAGCATGCAGGGAGCCCACCAAGTGCCCAAGCCAGGACCAGGCACTGAGGACACAAGACAAATGAGAGACAGGCTCTGTCCTGAGGTAGCTGCTATCTCCAGGGGAAAGAGACTGAGGAACAGACCACTTAATTACTCTGCAATCGTTCACCAGCTGTCCCAGACACTGGCGATAAATGATACAAAGTCCTTGCTCTGAGCACTTCCATGCCAGGATGCAGAGACAGAGCAGACAGACCACATCATCACTTCAAAGAGTGACAGAATGAAGAAAACCGGGCAATGTGACAGACTAACAATACCAGACAAGGCACTGAGTCAGAACAATTTCAGAATGTGGGTCTTGGGCTCAAATTCTGATTCTGCCTCTTCTTAGCTGCACACTCTTGGATGTTACCTAAAACTTCTCCATTTCCCCACCTGTAAGATAGGGATTAAACTCATACAAGGTTATTATGAAGAGTCAAGTGAAATGAGACTGAAAGGCATTTAACATAGGGCCAGGTACACAGTGGAAAGTGCTGGAACACGGGAATTGTGGTTTGATTTCTACTTTGAATACTTCAAGGGCATTTCTCCATGATCTCACTTCAGCAGGTCCTGGCCCAGCAATTTCTTGGACTGACTTTCCCTGACTGGTGAGAATCGATGAGGTCTCCCACCTCTGATGCTTTGTGGGTAAGATCTATGGAGTGGCTGCAAATATCACAAACCGCACGCCCTGAATGCTGCCCTTCCAGGTGAGGGCCTGGCTGGGAAAGACTCAACAGAAGAGTAATAGAATATGCACAGTTCTGGCCGAGGCCAGAGGCTCTGATCCCGTGACCGTCTGCGGCTGCCCCTCTGGGTGCCAGGCTTAAGCCCGGAGAGCAGAGCGCCTCAATGAGTGACCAAAGGCACACTTGACCCCTGGAAGGACACACAGCTACTGTCAACACTGGTTGTCTGGGGGGAGTGAAATTACGGCAGAGACGTACCACATAACCTGTTTTACTTTTCTGAATTTTGAATGCCATAAATGCACACTGAAAAATGCAAAAGGGAAAGTAGTGAAAATGTACCTGTCATACATTTCAAACCAACATGGACACACAGAAATGAAAGGAAGAACCTTAAAGGGGATGTTTATGTTTGGGCTGTTTCCCGTGAGTCCCAGATTGAGCATCACCTTTCAGATGCGTGAACAGTTTTGCAATGTGTGCATTTGGGTTTCTGTAAGTCCAGCGATAGCACTTTCAAATTAAAAGTGGGATAAAGTAGAAAATGCTTTCTTATAAACCAGCTGCTTGGAGTTTGGACTGTATTTTCATTTGGGAATAATGTGAATAACCAAATGCCCAGGAGCAGAGGGAGGGCTGGGTAGATGTATCATCTCTTATGAAATGAAGTATTACAAAGCCATTAGATTTTAATTTACTAAGAGTACAACAAGTGAAAAACAGTCTGGGGTTTGATTAGACAGAAAAAAAGAAGAAGAAAATTACAAATATGGCATGGCATAAGTTATTGGGGGGAAGGAGGAAAGAATACCCACATAATTGGCATTGAAAAAAAAAACTGGCAGGAAATAACCAAAATGTTAGTAACAGCTGCCTTTCAATGCTGGCATCACGGAAATCTTTTTTTTTTCCTTCTTTACACATTTCAAGACTTTTTATTTATTTTTTTATTTTAAAGAAAATGTTTTGAATTGCTTTTAGTTTCTCAGCATATATCTAACCCTGAATGCAGATATAGTCCATATGCAGGAACAGTTACGCTTTGCATTATGCTGTTTCTTCAGATAAGTGGACCAATGTCAAGATCCAATTCATGTCAAGAACAAACTGTCCCCCTCCCTCACCCTCAGCGTCCCCCTCCCTGCTCAGTGCTGGGAACTGGGAGGACAGAAGTCCTTGGCGGCGTTTCTGACAACCAACAACTCAATACCTTTTCAGAGAGAAGATAAGACAACTCCCACCTGGGCCGCTCTCTCCTTGGCATTCAGTCTCAGGACAGAATTCCCGGGGCCACAGCCCATCTCGGCACCAGGATTAGCTCCCATTATAAATCATGTGGTGGAAGATGCCAGTTAAAGTCACCAAATGTTAAGGAACAATCTCAATCAACTCTAAGAAAGTCCCTTTCTTCACTAAAATTCAGGGGGGAAAAGAAGTGTTAACCCCAAAATTCAAACATAACATTTTGGTCTGTTCACCTTTTTTTTTTTAGACAACACATGGATCTTTTTCTTCCTTTAGCAAAGCTATCGTTTTACCATACTATGTAAAATACTAGTATGTGCTCTGTTTCCATTTATTGAATCCTAAGAAACTGAACACATAATGACAGTATTCACTTAAAAGCAAGAGCCAATAATCTATTAAGCAGATGCACCTTCATTTGCTTGAGCATCCCCCACTTCTAGTCATTTGTGGTTTTTCCAATTATTCATAGTCTATCTAATGCTGTGCCAAGCATCTGAAGGTTGCTTCCCCTTTCTTTCTGTGTTTAGAATGATTTCCTTAATTTTCAGAGCTTCAGGAGTTACATTTTTTGCTGCCAAGCAAAATCAAAAAGGTCTTTGTAAGTTACAACAACCAATAGCCCACACTGCACTCCAGTGTGTTCTATTTAACCAAAACTAAAAATGGCTCCCTTGTGCATCTGATAAAAATTAATCCTGTTAAGTAACTGAAACATCTGCCAAGCAAAGAGGTAAGTAAGACATGGAGGGAAAACAGTGTGCTTCAACTCTTCACGTCCAGTAGGATTAATACATAGGGTGAGGGTTTGTGTGAATTTCAACCACCCCACCCTCAGGGTTTAGGAATGAATTCCTTGTAGGCTGACAGAGGAACCGTGCTGCTGTGCATTTATTAACACTAAAGCAGGATTAGGAGGTTATTACAGGGGTCTGTGCACATGGAGCCCTCCTAACAGTTCACTGAATACCCTGGGAGCATTCTACCCAAGTCTATTCCAAAAGGGGTGGTGCTATAGCAAGGTTCCAGGAAATGTGGCATCTCGAAAGTTTAAGAGCATGTAGCTGTGGCAGGCCATCACTGAAATAAACCATCAGGCACCAAGTCAAAGGTGGACAGCAGCATTTAATCATCCTGGCAGAGTCACGAGGGCAGGCCCTGTGGATAGCCATGTGCGTGGCAGAGAATGAATGAGACAGAGACACCCAAACACTGCTCCCAGGGTCTTCCAGGAATGGCCATACAAGGTTACAGGCCCTCCCATACCCTTTAAAACAGGGCCCAGCATTGCAGTGCTTGGGGGTGGGGGGCTGGGGAAGGTGGTGGCATCATGTCCTGCTCATTCTCTTGCCAAGGGGTGAGTGTGCTAGAGCAGCGGTCGCCAACCAGTGGTGGTTCGCGAGGTCCGAAAGGTTGGCGACCGCTGTGCTAGAGTGCTGAGTGTCAGCTCCGTCCCCATGCCTCTCGAGAAGAGCTGACTCTCTTGGTGACCAAGGAGTGAAGTAGAGGGAAAGGCAGGAAGCAAGGTGGCTTGGTTGAGAAGCAGACGAGACCATTTGGGTGGTAGGAAGAGGCCCAGGGTTATCCTTAGGGGGCACCCCAGCCAAGGCACCCACCCTCACTGCTGAGCCCATCTCCTCATCCCAGAGACTGAGCAGTACCTCACCTGACAGGCTGGCTTGTGGGCAGCCCTCCCCAGCATCAGCACGAGTGTACCCCACCTGTCAGGCTGGGCCTCCCACCTGTTCCACTGCACACTCTCCAAGCCCGTGGCGGCGCTCTTCTCCTCATCTGTGGTGTTCTGCTCCTGCATGGAGGTGCTGGCCGCCAACTCTGGGAGCTTGCTGCGCTCCATGATCACCATCTCTATCTCTGGAAGCAAGTACAGAGACTGCGATGAGCCCAGATAGCTTCTCAGACCTACTTTATAGACATACTCATGGTTGAGACAAAGCCCCAGAAACTGTTCCTAACACATCAAGCAAATATTCAACAGTGATGAAAGGAGCACCAGCAACATGCTGGGGGAAATATAAGACAAAGGCCAGAACCTCTCTTTCCTTTCATCTGGGCATCACCAAGAAACAGGGCCCTGATTTTGACTGGAAAGAACTGCGATTTTATTTATTTCAAGGTTTTTGGGTTTTTTTTAAAGTAATTTATTTTATTTTATTGATACCACACTTCCTTCCCCCAAAGAGCTGAGGCAGCAAGGAAACATGTGGTTAACAAAACATAACCAAATTCCCTGAAAACACTCTGAAACTGTTTATACGTTAGAAAAAGCTTTGATGTGACTGAAGCCTTTGTTTTCCCTTTCTATTTACAACTTCTGGGCGCAGAGAGAGGTTAGGAACCATGTTTTATTTTTCCCAATTAAAGAAGAGCAATTTGTAGCAACTGACTTAAGCATTGGGCACATTTTATTTTTCAGAAAGAGGTATGAACCAATGAAGGAAAACATCTTGCATTAGAGATGGATGGTTGTTGCGCTGTAAGGTGTCCTGTTAAGAGTTCTTTGACACACAGGTATAGACCTTCAAATAGTTCTTGGAACCCAGACTTCAGTTCATTGCCCCCATCTTCCGGAGACAAAATGGGGGTGGGGAATATGATTAAAAGGTAAACCTGTGTTTCTGTTTCCAGAAAGATGGGAGCACACCGGGTTCTGACATGACCTCTGCCATCGTCGTTCCCTGGACCCACAGGAGCCGCCTCTTGGCCACTCCTCTTTTCTTGCTTGCCTAGTTTACACAGACCCAAGTGATTTTAAGTGGAAATGAGCTCATGTCACCCTTCTGCTCAAAACTCCGCACTGCCTTCACTTCACATTCAGCAGGAAATCCAAATGCCTCCATGGCGTCAAGGCCTTGCACGGCCTGGCACCCGTCCACCTCTGACCTCACCTCCTGGCCCTCTCCACCCAGCACCACTCCAGCTGTGCTAAGCTTTTCTTACTCTTCTTTGACTGGCCCAAGCGTGTTTCTGCCCCAGAATCTTTACCTGGCTGTTTCCTCTGCCTGGAATGCTCTCACCCAGGTTTCCCTACCCAGGCACGACTCAATCCCATCACGTCAGGCTCAGATGTCACCACCTCAGAGACCTCTCAGAGACCATCTGCACCTGTTTTTCCTTTACCTCTTCAAATGATTAATTAAACTGCATCCCTCAGAATTCAGATTTCCCCAGTTTTCTCCTAATACCCTTTTCTGTTCCAGGATCCCATCTAGGATACCATGTTACATCATGTCTCCTTAGGCTCCTCTTGGCTGTGACAGTTTCTCAGACTTTCCTTGCTTCTGATGACCTTATGGTTTGAGGAGAGAACTGGGCAGGTACTTCGCAGAACATCCCTCAATCTGGGTTTGCCTGATGCTTTTCTGATAATTAGACTGGGGTTAGGAGTTTCTGGGAGGAAGACCACTGAGGGGAAGTGCCCTTCTTATCACATCATATCAAAGGTACAGGGTATCAACATGACTCAGGACTGCTGATGTTATCTGCATCACTTGGCCAAGCGTGTGCTGCTCAGGTTTCTCCACTGGAAAGGTACTTTTCTCCCCCTTTCATTCCATAATCTTTGAAAGGAAGCATGAAGCACAGCCCACACGTAAGAAGTGGGGAGTTATATTCCTTCTCCTTGAGGGGGGAGTAGCTACACAAATTATTTGAAATTCTTCTGGATAGATTTGTCCCCTCACCCCTTATCTTGATTTCACTTATAGCATTTATAACTCCTTGGATTTTTTTAAATTAAATCTTTATTGTTCAGATTACAGTTGTTCCTCTTTTTTCCCCCATAGCTCCCCTCCACCTGGTTCCCCCCCCACTGTCCTCATCCATAGGTGTACGATTTCTGTCCAGTCTCTTCCTGCACCCCCCCCACCCCTTTCCCCCGAGAATTGTCAGTCCACTCCCTTTCTATGCCCCTGATTCTATTATATCCACCAGTTTATTCTGTTCATCAGATTATTCACTTGATTTTTAGATTCACTTGTTGATAGATATGTACTTGTCGTTCATAATTTTTATCTTTACCTTTTTCTTCTTCTTCCTCTTCTTAAATACCTTTCAGCATTTCATATAATACTGGTTTGGTGGTGATGAACTCTTTTAGCTTTTTCTTATCTGTGAAGCTCTTTATCTGACCTTCAATTCTGAATGATAGCTTTGCTGGGTAAAGTAATCTTGGTTGTAGGTTCTTGCTATTCATCACTTTGAAT